TCCGAGAAACATGCAAAACGGGACGGAAAACATGAAATTTTGCAATAATCTTGCGCCACCCTTGCACAAAACGACGATAATTTTTCTAATTTTATGTACAACAGAAGACTGCATTTTTTCTACATAACCAGCCCCTGATTTAAAGCTAAATCCGCCCCTGATTGACGAAAAGGTACAAATAAACGAAGCTACTGAGGAGACTTTAGACTTCTATTTATGGCACTCTGCCAATATTATGACAACAATCGAATCTCCACTAAAACATAAAAAGTTAAACCAAAGAACAGAAAAGATAGCAGGAAATTCGAGAAACGAAACAGAAACCGGTCGGTCATCAATAGTGAAAATGTCTTTGATCAAACTGAATCGCTAAAACACGCAAAGCAAGAACTGATGGAGATTTAAAGACTATCAAATTATTTAAACGGGAATTTGAAAGACTCGTACTCAACTAGAATGTTTAGGGATTTTTCCAGGGACAAACCATTCTAGCAACCACAACCACAAAAGGTCAACGACAAAGTCAGAAAATCGCAATATTTAACGCTTTTCAGTACCTGAGGAGTCGAACTGCTGTTGATCGAAACTTGCTGGCTTTGCGGAACAACTTTCGTTTTCCCGTCAGCAATGGTGCAGGTGCATGAAAAATCTTGCAGGGTGCTGGGATCTGTAAACTCGCAGGTACAAGTACTGGTTCTTGAAGACTTATCCGTTAAGGTTTCCTCATAATCTACTAGGTTTTCTTGCGCAGACCGATCAGTTTCCTTAGTGGGGATTTCACTGGACGTTAGATCGGTGCTACCCAGTGTTGTGGTAGTTGTTTGAGCATAGTCGGTGTTTGTTGGGGAATCACTAAAGCTTAAAAGACACCAGAGATTTTTGGAAGCGATTCTTTATGCCACCTACCTAGTTGCCTTGGCTCCAGGGCTCGGACATTGGCATTTCATTGACAAAATACTTTTTGCGTTCTCCATCATTTTCTGAAAAAAACTGCACTGCTGAGTTACCGGTTGCTGATCAGTTATAGTTCTGGGCACAGCTGGTACATCGCGAACCGGAGTTTCCGGAAACACTTTTGGAATTGATAGTGAATCGCACTGGCAAGTCGCTGGCCCGGCCAGCGATGAGCCTTGCGGCTTGCCTAAAAATTGCAATTTTCCATTTCCACCTGGACCTTTTAAATTTATTCAGCGCCTACCAATGAATGTTTCCATTTTCATAATTTTCCTTTCAAGGTCCTGCTGCTGCGCCTGCAATTTGGCAGTGCGATCCAAATATTTCTTTTTGAGTATTTCGAGATACTCCGTCGGATCGGTTGGTTCTGACGACTCGCAAAGGCATGAGCTTCCGGAATCCATCTTTCATGGCTTCTTTTTCCTTCAACGTTCAATTTTGATACAAAAATCACACAACATACACTGACAAAACACAGAAACTGTCACTTGATAAACAGGTAATTAATATGACTGGCCAAAGGACTGTTGGAACAGACACACCAGCGATGCTATAATATACAGAATGTCTCATGAGACTCAACGCGAGACACCGTGTATGTAGATTCTATGCAACAAAAACGGCAAAAAGCCCTAAAGAACAGAAGAAGCAGTCATTTTGTATCCGCAACTTCTTGAATTTAATCATTTTTTGAGAAAACTGCCACCATTTTCTTATCTATGGTTCACTTTCTGAAAAGGCCATTTATTTCTGTCTAGAATGATGTACAAATGAGCGTTCTTGCTCACTTTGCCTCCGAGATATGAGCAAAAACGGGACGGAAAACATG